TAAATAATTGGGACAACAGATTACCCCCCAGGGATTAAGGTTTTCCAAAATTCCGATGTTCGATCAGAAAGATGAATCCTTTTTGTATATCTAAAAGTACAGCCTTAGATTTCTTTTTAGTAACTATGACAAAAATTATTATTGAACAAAGGACAAATACTTTGAACAAATCAGATAAAGCAATTAAAGAGATTCAGAAGAAACTTGAAAACTTTACTGGAACAAAGGATTTTGATTATTTACCAGATAAGATGATCATATATATCAGGAAATGCCAGGAAAGTACTCAGTAAGGAGAAAACAAAGAAAACTGAGAATTTTAAATTAAAATGAGATTTGAAAACTTTAGACGAAATCTTGAAAATCAGAAATATTACAAAAGAGGAAGGGGGAGTACACAGGAAAATAACGGTACAGAGTTAAGGAAAATAAATGGCAAGATAATGACTGGACAAAAGTAAAAACGGAAATAGGGAGAAACAACCCCAGAAAAAAACCTTTAGATTACCCCCAAAAACACAAGAAGTTCACCAATAATTATTCCAGAAAAGAAGATTGTCCCAGCTAAAAAAAAAAAAAAGAAAAAAACATTAAAGAATACAATACAACCTATAAAAAAAAAGTATTTGTCCAAAAACACCCTTAATCACCTTAAAGTTCTAAGTAAGGAATTTTTTTTAAATTTGCCCCTAAATGTAAGGTCAACAAATTCAAACCAGTTTTTGATATTGATATACAAGAAAGTTATGCTTGAGGGAGTTGTATTTTTATTTTTTTTACATTTGGAAAAGATCACATATGAAAAGAAGAGAGTAACTTTATACACACACACATATATTTATAGAGAGAGAGATAGATAGATAGATAGATAGATAGATAGAATGTTCTCTTGCACGTCTGGCTTAATAATCCTTTACTGCCGGGTGCTTTTTAGCCTAGGTTTCTATCATCCAGATATACAATCATGTGGCTGCACTCACGGTCTTTTCAGTTTCAAATCTTTATTGAGTCATTAAAAAAACGATCGACATTTCAGTCCTCCGTTTGGGACTTTCATCAGGATCAATAATATACATACATTTAAAATCAAGTACACATATAGGCAAAGATAATTACTAAAGTGACAAAATGTGACTTCCATAAAACTTTTGAACCCCTGCTCTGATCTGGGTGATTTTTGGATATGTTGTTCACCTAGATCAGGGCTATGCAGGGATTTATAGGGATATGTTTGTGTTTTGGGGTGTTTCTGGACTTTGGGTAAAAGTGGATATTTTCTGCCTGTGGATAATTAGGTTATTCCATTAGCTAGCTTAATTATATCACAGGCAGAGAGGAGGGCTTGCTGACTGTACGTGGGAGTGTTACTGTGTTAATTATTATTCCTATTGGTTTGGTAACTTTGTGTCCTGTGCTCCACAAGGTCCATGTGGGTGGTAACCTTGTGGGGAAAATGTGTATAAAAGAAATGCCTTTGTGCTCAATAAACAGATCATCTTGTACCTCCATGAAGTTTCGGCTCATGTTTGGGGGATTGGAGAATTACCTACACTCTGGGGATTGCTATAATCACTATACTCCCCAGAGTAAGCTCTTGTAAGAGCTTGTTCCTGCTCTCTGGATTTAGGAGAGGTCTACCGACTGGAAGCTGGTCCCTGGTCTTGGGCCCAGAGTAGGCGGAAGACGGCGAGACCCGAACCAAGCTGCGGCGGTTCGTGGGGTCTGCAGTGGTTATGGTGCCTAGTGGAGTGCTTGGAGCCCTCAGGAAGAACTAGGAGCATCCATCAAATGGAGGTACTCAGTCGGGGTGCCAAGCGATCCGTTACAGAGACCTTTGTTTCATACATTACAAATAAAAAATACAAAATTAATTACCTGTAATAGTAACAATATAATCTATCTCCTGACAAGTACAGATGGCTTGCAATATATTGGCAGGATTACCAGACCACTGAAATGGAGGATCAGGGAGTATATAAGAAATATTCAAATCAAATTACTCAATCATTGTGTATGGCCATTTTGCAAAAGTCCATTATAGGGACCCTGTTTTTTTTACACTTTTTGGGAAACCTAAAGTTGTATAGGAATTTGACAGGGGGTTACCATCTCAGTAGAAATTAAATTGATTTTTTTTATATGGAAACCATCTCTCCAAAATATAGATTTTGAAATTTACAGCTCTATATTATTAACTCTTTTGAGCAGGGTCCTCATCAACTTACTGTTCTTGTAACATTTTGTAATAGTCTTGTTTATTGTTAAAAAAAAAATAATACACCTTTAAAATATTGTAAAGTGCTGTGTAATAATTTGGCACTATGTAAGTGTCAATATAAAGGAGGTCTTGTTTTTTATATAATATTCATTCCAATATATAACATGTTTAGTAATTTTTAATAGCACTGATGTATTTGGTGTTATGTATATGTATTTTATATTTATTGGGCTGTTCGGAGTCTGTTTAAGGTATCTATTCATTTAGTCATGTAAGTGGTGCATTAGGTAAAAAAACGCAACACCATTCCATATGTAAGAAGACTGTCAAAGACTTTCAAAGATGGGCGTGGCTTTGTTTCCGGCAGTTCGTGTGACCTGTGATTGAAAGTGAAGTTAGAGACCATTGCCAGACAGAAATTACAGCATGCAGGGGAGCACCACGATGGCCACCAGACCAGAAGTGATGCCAGAGCAGATATGACACTGTAGGGAAAAGAGCGTGAATGGTGGATATAGAGCGGCTATATAAACTGGGATTAGTTTGTGAGAAGACATTTGCCTGAGGAAGACATATAATGTTGAAACATATGGTGCCTTATGTGATTTTCTATATACTTTGAGTAAAGATTTACTTTACCGGTTACTTGGTTTTATTTAAATACATTGTGATACCATGTATAATTGGTGGTACAGTTACAAACCTGTTGAATTGGAGGAATATAGAAAATAAGTGGTTCTTTAAGCCTGCTAACATACATGAGCTGGCTTTCAGGCTCTAGTAAATGAGAGTGTATTTCCAGAGGGGGGGAGGTTGATTGTGACAACTGGACCTCGTCACGGGTTCTTGGAGAGGCATACTTACCAGCCTCTTAGCCTGTGACTATGGCCCCTGTGATAAAACTTGGTTTAAATCACTGTTTGTGCCTCTTGGACTTATAACAGGAACCATTCGAACTTTCAAAGTGGCACTTCGAATTCCAGAACTCCCAAAGCCATTCGAAGTGCCCTTCGACCATGTGGTGGCGGCCATCTTGTTTGCAGGGACCAAAACAGCGAAGAGACTTCAGGAGGACTTAAGTGTGAATGCCCTGGAACTATTTTCTGCATGAAAACTTTGAGGGTTCCTGGTCGGTCCTCCAGCGGCACTTAGCCGCAATTCCATGGAACTATTTTCGACTATGGGACCATGCCTGCGGTCGGTAAAATAAATGACTTCCACAAAATGTTGTGGGTATATTATGTGTTTTGGGGTACTTTTGGAACTTTTTAGAAATGTGTGTTTTTTCTGCCTGGAGATAATTGGGTTGATACAGTAATTAACTCAATTCTCTCCAAAGCAGAGGGGAGGGATTGTATGCCATGTATGGGAGTGCCTTAAATTGTAACTCTATTGTTATTGGTGTATAGGTTTGTGGCCCTGTCCCCAACAAGGTCCATGTGGGAGTCACCCTTGCATGGGGACTTGAATAAAAGGCCAGTGTGGCTATCATTAAACCATTCCTGCTTTACCCTCAACATAAAGACTTATGTCTATCTTCTGTCCGTACTCCCACCTCTGATGCTCGCCTTCAAGACTTCACAAGGGCTGCACCATTCCTGTGGAACTCACTTCCCTCCTCCATTATATGCTCACCCAATCTCCACTCCTTCAAAAAAAATCATTAAAAATCCACTTCTTCATAAAAGCTTTATCAATTAAACTGTTAATAACTCCCGACTGATTCCTCTCTTGCAACGGTCATTAGTCTAATACTACTATGCTTTCCTTTTGTGTCACTTTACCCCACTCCTTCTAGCATGTAAGCTCATTGAGCAGGGCCCTCAACCCTTCTGTTCCTGTGTTTCCAACTTGTCTGGTTATAACTACGTCTGTTGATCCACCCACTGTAAAGTGCTGCAGAATTTGTTGGCGCTATATTAACATAATAATAATAATAATAATAATAATATTGCCGAGCAGAGTGTTTGTAGGGACCCGCTATATCACTAGCTCGTGTAGGGACCTGCTATACCACTAGCAATACCTGCTATACTCTCTTGGAGGAGAAGCCTTCCCACTGGGAGCTGGATCCAGGAGTTCTGTCCAGGGTGGGAAGGGACGGCGAGAACCCCAGCCAAGCTACGGCAGCTACAATGCTGATGGTGTCTGGTGGAGTTCTTGGAGTCCTCGTGAGCACTAGGAGCATTGATTGACGGAGGCACCCAGTCGGGGTAGCAGGCGTTACGTCACATTGATATATTTCTCTTGTTATGTACAAATATACTGTACTATGATTATATTTATTTTTTGTAGTCCCTTGATCCCAAAGAGGGATAATATTGTATATGTATAGTATATACTAAAAAAAAAAAGTATATATAATGGCATGATTGGTTTCACCAGTGATTTTAGCAGCACTTATTTAGATGTAATTGTTACAAACATTTTCACATTTTCTGTTTGAGGGCTCACTTTACTACACTTTATTTTTGTTATTTCACGTTTTTAAAGTTGCATAAAGTAATGTCACAGATGTAACTTCCATAGAATTATACTAATCTTATTTTATAAACTTAAACTGAAGACATGCAAATATTTGTAGGAAGATACTTTATTATAATTGTGCACTGAGATGACTTAAGTACCCCCCAAAAAACAACAAAATTAACAAAATAAAACTTCACAATTGTATACTTCGTTTTTGTTTTTGCTTTTATTACAAGCATATAATATTAATTGGCAAAACACAGAATACAAGCTTCACTGTAGTAAAATCAAAACATTAAGCAATATAACTTCACCCAATTCTATAATTGTTACAACTTTTACACAGTATTACAAACTTAAAAATGTAAACTTTCAAGGAAAAAAACATAATTTGATTATAATTATTCTTATTTTGGGACTTTGTAATCCAGAAATCAAATTGCTCATTTAAGTGGAAGCAATGTTTCTCACGGTATTTAATATCTAGAACAGTAAGTCGGGTTTAAGTTTAAAATCACCATTTCACATGTAATCTGTTGATTTAGCCACAAATTATACATTTATTATAAATGAACATACTGAGTATTTCTGTAGTGTACATTGCAGTTTCAAAGGGTGAAAAATGTTTTGTTTAAAAAAGAAAAAAGAAAAAAAAAAAGAAAAAAAGTTACCCAAACGGTCTCCGGTTATTTTATTCATTGATTATTCATATGCACCTTTTACATTACAAATGTGCATTTCATGAATATAAATAAAATGTATGACAACTGTTTCACTTAAACACTCAACCATTGCAAAATAAAACCACAAATGTGACATTACCTGTGTTATCACAATGTAGTTGCACCTTTATATAGACCTTTATGTGCCAAAAGGGAAAGTGCTCCTCCCTTAGACATTGAAAGGGTTAGATTTGTACCTGAAGAAAAACAGATTTGCAATAATATAGTCATAACAAGGGTGAATCATATGTTTAGCTTAACAGTCTTTCTAGTTACTTGTGTGAATAAAACCGTTCACATTAAAGTAGGCAGATTGTTTTTTGTTTAACAAAGTCTTCACTACCATATAACTTTAAAGTCTATGCAAAAATATATTTCTGCAGATTGCTAAACAGAGCTTGTCTGTATATTATATGGGAAAAAAAAAAGAAGATATTAAAGATTAAACTTGAAAACAGAGTTAAAAAAAGTATAAAATGAGAGATTGTAATGTGTATTCTTATGTTTAATAAATGAAAAAATGTCAATGAAAATGCACTACTAGAATTGTATTTATTAATACAGTAGTTTTTGTTCTGTTTATTCATTATTTATGGTTTAATAGTTTAACTTGTACATTGTACAAAGTGATACAATTCTAGTACACGTGTTCATTGACAAAAAAAATAAAAAAAAAATTAAAAAGACATGCCTTCCGCCAACTTCACTTATTTATTGTAAAATCCTGCAACTTTTTCAGAGCCGTACAATACATAGAAATTGAGAAAAATTAAGCATCCTGCAAACCTATTGCACAGCATCATTCTTAATGCTTTTTATTCACTGTTGTAACAAAAACAAATTAAATTAAAAACAAAAATTATAAAAGAAGCTTGTTGAACATCTTACAATATTATTTTATATGCCCGTAAATAAAGCTGGTCACGTAAAACGTTTTCAATGGTAAAATAATATAGAAAGCTTAAAATAGAATAAATAATTTTATAAAGTTATTTTTAAACCCCGCCAGTCCTATTTAAATTTATCATATATTCTGTCAGAAGTTTCTATTTTCCATAAGAACTATTTTTAACAAAATCTGTCTCTCTCTCTCTGGTCTCACTGTTGCAAGTTACAACAGACACATAAATATTTTTGGAGACATTAAACAGTGGATTCTATCCCCTCCCAAATCCACTTCGCAAAAAAAAAAAAAAATCTTCAAAATACATTTTAGAAATAGGCTAAATGTGGCTTCCACAACAGCACGGGTATATCAAATAAAATCTGACAAAAAGTGCTTTCTTGCCTATTATCAAATGCAACAATTACTTTGAGGAGTAATACTACACTGTACCTCACAGAGGTTTGCTTTAATCCAGTATATCTCCTTCATTTAATTTAGTATATCTGCAGATGTTAGACTGAGTGGAGCAGTAAACACATTGTCCTTGCTTCCAAATTCTTTTGAAAGGAATTTAGGAAAGCAAAGAAATTCCAAAATGGCATTATAAAAAAAAAAAAAAAACCCTATATATACATATATAGATATATATATATATATAAATTCTTTACTGCTGAGGTTGTCAAGTTAAAATATTGTAAAAGGCAGAGTTATACAGTTTTCATAGTGAAAGACCAGTTGTTTTAGTGAACACTGGCTTAATTAAGGTTTGTTGTTTTGAAACAGATACTTTGAAATAGACAATATAAACCATTTTTAAGCTGGTACGAAAAGATGGCCTCTTACAAATGCCAGCCAAAAATGAGATCACACCTTTTGGTGCCAGAGGCATAATACGAAGGCCACCTGACTGACACACACACAGTATTAATGTAGCACCATAGCAAATTCAAGTGATCCCAAAGATAATTGCAGATTTGTAAATTGTTTTAAGAATACAAGCATTTTTATTTATTTTTTAAAGTTATTTCCATCCATTATGTATGTCTCCTGGCCCAGTTACACTCTATCAGTTAAGAGCCGCAAAACACAATTCTTGCAATCCCTCTGGTTGCGTTTTATTTATTCACAATACTGTGGTTAAATGGTTCACTCTACCTTGCCTATAATGGTATAATTATAACCTGTCAAAAATCAAAAAGATGTACATGATAATCTTAGCACCAAGAGCGATTAAGATCTCAAACAGCATGATTTTTTTCAGGTTAAGTATCATGAGCCTTAAAATGTATAACAAAGTCTTCGATAATGACATCAATTTGCCGCCATTATGAGACCCCTCCAGTAGATATAACTGCTAACATTTACAGTAAAAGGTCTGTTATCAAGTGGTCCTTGTGCAACATAAGGGACAAATGTGAATATTGCAGCAAAGATAAAAAGTGCACTATGTCTATAGAGCTCCAGAGGTCTGAAAGTTTTTTTTCTCCAGACTAACAGTTTTGCCCCAAGAAAAGCTGGGAATAGCACAAACGTTTGTTTATAACACATGATGGCTCAAAGGTCTGATATTGATTAGTCAGGATCATATTTGTATTTTCTGTTCAAATAGAAACAATACATTTGAAAATGGGCTTTAGTTATAAATGATACACCTTTAACAACTATAATGTAGCCTAAGGTCATTTGTTGTCGATTCCCCTCCTTTTATTTAATATTTATACATATATTTATATATTTCTCTCTATATATATCTATCTACATATATGTACATATACACATATATACATATACATAGGTAGACTGATATATCCATATATGACAAATAATACATCTCGAAACCAACTTCGATGTAATTTGCAGCAAAGGCATGAATTTATGAAAAGTGTTTTCGATATCTGTAAACGTCATGCTGGTAGTGTCTTGAGTTTTGAAAAATTATTTTTTTTTGTACAAAAGTATAAATATTTTCCTGTCCAGATTTCTGGCAATTGTGTTGCGTAAGGAAAAGGTTTTTAAGAGGGTCTTCTGTGAGTGCGCTACAATCTTCTGGCTTGAATCCGCTGGTTCTCACATGTTGTGAGCTGCGTGGTGCACTGTGGTGGTGCCCATGATAGTCTCTGCAAAAACTTTGTCCAAACAGGACAATGAAGTTCTTTTACAGCAAGTCCATTTTCGGTCTGTAATGCAGAAGGAGTGGTGCTTTCTATGAGGAAAAAGTATATATATATATATATTACAAAGTAAATATATAGAAGACACCTAAAATCACCAGTGAAAAAATACATGAAGGGATTTAAAATAACATTACCCTTATACACCTCTTAAAATGTAGATATACCAAGACTCCTCTAAAGCTTCATAAGTATAACAAAACACTAAAACGTATGTCTGTGTGTTGTTGCACTCAAAAAAATTATTTGCTTGTTGGCAGAATTGGTTTAATAACTCCAACTTTCTCTAGATTACTTGAGAACATATAAATAGAAAAAGGACAAATACCATATATAGCACAGAGCTTCCATATAAAAATCACTCTTTAATATGAATTGCACTTATTAGGAATTAATATATACCAGTATTAGAGAAAGGGTCCAGGCACTCCAATGTCTTCAGACACCTTTATTAGAACATGTGAAACACTGCAATGTTTCGACTCTCAAGTTTGACAAAGACTGCACTGGGAGTTGAAACATTGCAGTGCACATATTGCACAGCCGCAGCGTTGACCGGGTCCCTGAAGATATAGAGTCCATTCGGTGGCCCTAAATGCTTGGGCCACCCGATGGGCCCCATTAGCGCGCGGACCCCGGTGCAGGTGTACTGGCGGCAGTTCCACTGCTACATGTGGGGCTGGGGCCCCCCAGGGCCGCTGGGCCCATGACAACCGTCACGGTTGTCACCCCCTAATGGCGGCCCTGTCTATTGTGCTAGTGCTGGCCCTTGGTTCAGCTAGACACCTTATCTAAACTGAATTGAGTGCGGTTCCTTTTCCATTTTTGCAATTTAGGAATCATAGATGAGGTCAGGAATCAGTAGTGCCAACACCGTAGTCCAGGGAAACTAGGAACAGGAAATACACTCTTCTTTTAAATAATAAAAACTGATGTACAAACAAATAAAGAAGGCACATAAAAACCAATTATAAAAATAAAATCCGACGCAGCCCTACGTTTCATCCGACTGTTCCGACTTCTTCGGAGGAAATAAGAGCAAATACATTTTTTTTTTGGAGTGCAACAATTCACAGACATACATTTGGTGTATATATGCACAATACTTCCCAATATTTTTGTCTATTTTAGATGTGTGTGTATATATATATATATATATATATATATATATATATATATATATATTATAAAGTACAAGGATAACAGAGATAATGCACTTTAAATAGTTACGAAGACAATATGCAAGAATTATCTACTGTCCATGAAATATGCATACTCACTTATTTTTACTCATCCTATACATAATTGTTACTTTATAACAGTCTTTTTAATAAAGTAGCAAATGGTTTAAATGTATGAAGATACAACAAAGATATATGAACATTGCTATAAACACCTTTATTATTTCAGACATTTACATCAGCTTGAATCTGCCACAATTTTATATAGTACACAGTTGTATAGCAGTAGTATATGAATAGATTGGGCGTTGATATAGGGCCACTTGCCTTGTGCTTACTGCCCAACTTGACTCCATAGATCAGCTTTGGCAAGTCCTGTAACCCAGCACCTTTCCCCTTCCTCATCTCTCATTTTTTTTTTTTTTTTTAACTATTCAAGCTACTTTGTAATTGATTCGCGATCAGTCAATGTTCAGTGTGCACATACCTTAAATCTCCATCGTGTGACAACAACAAACTTAAGTGTATGGTCCTTGCCGAGAATTTCTTCATTGCATAATATGTCCAGCTAAAGTAAAAATAGTTTCAAAAGTGTTAAAATATATATAATTCTAGTGTACAAAGAAGTTACAAGTACCCGTATATACTCGAGTATAAGCTGACCCGAATATAAGCCGAGGCCGCTAATTTTACCCCAAAAAACTGGGAAAACGTATTGACTCGAGTATAAGACTAGGGTGGGAAATGCAGCAGCTACTGGTAAATTTCTAAATAAAATTAGATCCTAAAAAAATTATATTCATTGAATATTTATTTACAGTGTGTGTATATGATGAATGCAGTGTGTGTGTATGAATGCAGTGTGTGTATGAGTGCGCAGTGTGTGTATGAGTGCAGTGTGTATGTATGAATGCAGGGTGTGTGTATGAGTGCAGTGTGTGTGCATGAGTGCAGTGTGTGTGCATGAGTGCAGTGTGTGTATGAATGCAGTGTGTGTGTGTGTGAGTGCAGTGTGTGTGTGTATGAGTGCAGTGTGTGTATGAATGCAGGGTGTGTGTATGAGTGCAGTGTGTGTGTATGAGTGCAGGGTGTGTGTATGAGTGCAGGGTGTGTGTATGAATGCAGGGTGTGTGTATGAATGCAGGGTGTGTGTATGAATGCAGGGTGTGTGTATGAATGCAGGGTGTGTGTATGAGTGCAGTGTGTGTGTATGAATGCAGGGTGTGTGTATGAGTGCAGTGTGTGTATGAATGCAGTGTGTGTATGAATGCAGTGTGTGTGTGTGTGATGCAGTGTGTGTGTGTGATGCAGTGTGTGTGTGTGTTGCAGAGCCTTGGTGGGGGGCGGGCATTTTTATTAAAAAAAATTATTATTATTTTAATTTTTTTTGTTATATTATTATTTTTATTATTATTTTTATTATTATTTATATTTATATACTATAAAAAAAATTTTTTTCGTCCCCCCTCCCTGCTTGATACATGGCAGGGAGGGGGGCTCTCCTTCCCTGGTGGTCCAGTGGCATTGGCAGTTCAGTGGGGGGAGGAGGTGGGCTGGCAGCGAGCTGTTACTTACCTCTCCTGCAGCTCCTGTCAGCTCTCTCCTCCTCCGCGCCGGTCCGGTCAGCACCTCGGTCAGCTCCCAGTGTAAGTCTCGCGAGAGCTGCACTATGACCCCACGGCTCTCGCGAGACTTACACCGGACCGGCGCGGAGGAGAAGAGAGCTGACAGGAGCTGCAGGAGAGGTAAGCGCTCACTGCCAGCCCCCAGTCTGTATTATGGCAATGTAAATTGCCATAATACAGACAGTGACTCGAGTATAAGCCGAGTTGGGGTTTTTCAGCACAAAAAATGTGCTGAAAAACTCGGCTTATACTCGAGTATATACGGTACATTATTCAACAGTAATTTCCAAATCCACCAGTGCTTGGCATAAAATTAATTGTAGTGATTTTGTTGCTTTTATGTTTTGTTGTATTTTATTGGTATATTTATGTAACTGTGTATATTTGTCTTAGTAACCTATAGTACATGATACCAGTATTCTAAATAGTTCAAATAAATTCAGGACAAATTAAACATGTCATTTATAAATACTCCATTCATTTGAATAGGTTTTTGTTTTCCAACATAGTTACCAGCTGACTTACAAGGATCACTATAGGGTCAGGAACACAAACATGTATTCCTGACCCTATAGTGCTAAACCCACCATACCCCCCCCCCCTTCCCTCAGCCCCCTATAAAA